TACACAGTTGTCAATCGGGGACCCTCTGTCCACCGGGGACCTTATTGTCCTCTATTGTTCAAGGTCCCCAATTGAATGCAGAAACAAACTCACCCACACACAAAACAGCTTTATTGCAAGTGCCCTTATGGCAAGTGAAAGTTCGGCACGGCATTATCAAATCATAGCCCTCCCAAATGCCCCGGGCATGGTATCTCAGCTGGCAAAGTTTTCAAAACGTGCACAAAATACATGTCCGAACATTGATTCATCTCTTTACATGTATTTACTCTTGTCAAGGCTGTGATTTCATACATTTTTTTGTTTTGCACTTTTGTAAAATTACTATTTTTATTATTTATTTTTTTGGATATGATTAAGACAAACTTGATAACCATTCAGGGTTTTAAACCATCATGTGTCGGAGCAAATGCTTATTTTTTTTTTCCTGGTCGCGTGCAACAGTTGACAAAGATCTCTTATATTAACCAACACTTATTCACTGAAGCAATGAACACGGTGGCTTTGTTGTTTGCACAATATGGGTCTGGGGTTACGGACCAGGGAACAAGTACAAACCAGTGGTCCCCCCCTGAAGGCATCACAAAAAAAGATGCTTAAAAAGGGTGAATTAGGCCTCCCTGAGTCTACCTCTGCACAAACAAGTCTACCTGTCAATGGGTAACAGACAGGATGACGTACTGTCTGGCACGCCGCCTGTGGGACTCTGCAGTTGATTTATAAGCCGCCAAAGGCAAAAAAATTCCATCCGTGTGAGTGAACAACTGACCAAAGAAAATCCCTTAAAATTAGACAGGCTGATGAAGTGAACAGGTCTTGTAAACAACCATGATGATGACTTTGTCACTTTGACAGAGAGCGTCCACACAAACAGCAATTTCCCTGTGCAAAATATTACACCCGCTCTCAGCTTCTTCAAAACGGCAAACCGAGGCGTGCATGTCAAGCTTTGGCCTGGGCCAAAGAATAGTCCAAACAAGAAGTTGGTAATGTAGAGGTTCACGTTCTGATCCGAAATTGGGGAAAAAAATATGGACCAGACAGAAAGTCCACGCTGTGCAATTGGACAGTCACATGGGAAGCCGACACTACAACTTTGCCTGTCTGACACGGCAATTTACACACTCAGTGGCATAAATACACGGTAGATGGGGGAAGGGAGGGCCTGCAGCCCACCTCCAAGCTGAACTCTTGCACACCCCCTCCCCAAAGTTTCAAAATGTACCCAACCAATTTGCAAGCCGCAGTTCACCTGTTTTTAGTGTCCTCTTGATAAAACGTGTCCCCCCATAGGTTCTACAGAAATTTCAGCCTGGTTACGCAAATGCGCCTACTATTTACGGGCATGGGTTAGTCAGCGTGGCTTATCATCTCTCCAGCAACACAACCTCCCTATCATTTCCTCAACACCTCATACTCACATCGGGATCTACTTGCTGCGCTAACAGAAGCGCCTTGTCCGAGACGTTGAGGAGCACGAATTGTGACTGCGGGCTCGGGCTGATGGTTAGACGTATTGTTGCATTGTCTCCCGCTGGCTCCCCCTTCAGTGGCAACACCCCTATTACGTGTCCTGAAAGGTCAAGACAGTTCACAGTTTAACAATCTACAAAGGCGTGGCACTGATTACGTTTTGAGAGGGTGGCAGGGACAGGGGGCAAATTTTTAGGAAGTAGGAACGCTGATGAAGTAAGAATCTCTAGTTCGTAACTTATAAAACGGGGAGATGCAGTTTGAAGGGATGTCGTAAGTATGAAAATCCAACTTGGACACGGTTGGATAACATATGCATTTTAAATGAACCTCAATAGTAGAAGACACTGATAATGTAAAGGCCACAGAGGATAAAGAAAATGCTGAAAAGATGTTGGGAAATGAGGCTCTTTAATATATCACAAGGAAACATCCTCCTACCTGGCAAGGCATCCTCACTGAGACTGAATGATATTATGTCCCCGCCACCGTCATTCCTGAGACAGTCAAGACCTTAAGGGAAGCAGACAAACGTTCACGGAACGGATGAAACCAGTACTGAATCAAATATGGAGGAGGAAACCGGGTAACAAAAAAGGTGGAATATTAATCAGATTACTGGGAAAAAAAGGAACAGGAAAGAGCTGCCAGGTATTGAAGTTAAAATTTACATGCAATTTACAATATCTTTCTAAGCTATCGTACATGTAATTTGTAATTACTCTTTGCTGTTTTGACCAGTCTAATCAACTAAGGCTTTCCTTGCTAGCAGTGATTTAGGTCTAAAGGTCAATCTTGGGACCACTTTTTGCTGGTCTCAGTCTTAGACACTACCCCATGGTTTCAGTTCTTGTTCTCTGTCTTGGAAATAAAGGTCTCAGTATTCTCGCTGGTCTCAGGTCAATATGTAGCATGTTTTATGCTCGGAATCGGTAACATGATGTTCATCCAACATCGTGAGTGTTGTGACAAGTTGTAACTAACTCTACAACGCAGTATGAAGGTCAACCTTATTCCTTCCATTTAAATTTTCCATTTGTGCATTTATAAGTAAATTATATGCCATTCACAATGCATGAAAATAATGGACCAACTTCAAAAAGAACTTTTCTTTAAATTGGTCTATTTTTTTCTGTACCGTAAAGTACGGTAGAGAAAAAAAGAGAAAACCAAAGAAGCAGTAATTAAAACGAATTAAACGGCATGCAATGTTTGGCGCACATTTCTTTTCTATATTACGCATTATGTATTTTGTTATTGATGGCCCCAGTCTCAAGCTAGGGCTGTGTTGGTCTTGGTCTTCATTCTTCTGGTCTCCGTCTTACAACTCCAAGTCTCAGTCGTTGACCGTCTGGTCTCGACTGTGACACATTTCTAGGCAGGTGTTCCTTTACCCTATTCCATGAGCACTTCAAAGGCTCCCATTTACAGTCTGTCGCCTCAACTACATGTAGATGCAAAGGCGGACAGGCATTCTGCTTTGCAGGACGGACGGAAACACTGACCCTTTACATTTTTTCAAAAAGTTAATTCTGTCCAACCACTATTTTCTGGCTTGTTTGAGACCCACAAGGAGAGGGAAAAAACAGTTGGGCCACGGTTGACTACCATACACCCACTAACTGCAAAGATTTGCTTCCACACATGGCAAACTCTCATTACTGGTATGGTTGGTCAGACACATGGGTACACACTCAGATATCACTTCTTTCACTGTAGCCCATCTGGATTACACAAGATCGCTTAGATAGTTTCCACCAAACAAAACTGCTGCAAATCAGGAGTTACTGTGGCAGACCAGGCATTACCTTCAAACGATGGACGTGGTTCCAATTGACAATTGATTACAATTGACAAAGACAGCTCAGTCTAGTGCATTTTTTTTAGAGTCCATGTACACGAGAGGTTGGAGAAATTACAATGGGCTGCCACTAACACTGACGGGATTGACCCGAAAAATCTCATGTGCACTTTAAAAGATGAATTTTACAAAGGTCTCTAGGAAAGATCCACCCAGTGTCTGACTTCTTTCATAGTAAGTTTAAAGATCTCAAATGAACTTGAGGAGTCCAGACCAAGATGATTCGGACTATCTCACCGACGAGACATACAAGTACATGTATTTCAGTATCAGATAAACTGCATATTAATTTGACAGGTTTCCGGTCCTGTAGATGGTTCAATAAAAATCAGTCCAATCCAGCACGGTTACTCACAATGCTATCATGAAGACAAATGATGCAATCTGGGGGAAAGGAGAAAATACATGTACATGTGGGGCCAATGGGTTGGATAA